AGGCTGTTTAAACGAATTATAACTGAAAAAAAAAATTTATAATAAATAGACAGATTACAATATGTAAGTTGATTAATGTTGGAAAATTATATTGAACGCATGTTTTTCTTGATTTCCCATAATTTTCACCCTTTGTAAGAAAAAATGAAAAAAAGAGAGGAATTGAGAGAAACGCAAATAATAAGGTGGGACACTGGTTTTTAACAGAAATGTTTAAAATAAAAACAAAAAATATGTACGCACCAGCAAGTCATTCACCACGTCCTACTTACCTCACTTACCTGTAGGTACGGATCGGTGAGCTACTACAACGTAGCAAACTATTCAAACCGAGTCCGTCCACGTGGGTGACTGTAGACTTACGTCATGAGCCGGTGTGCACACATCTCTGACAACAACTAAAAATTTGGTCTATATATACTAACCAGAGACTTTTTCGCCACATGCGGGAGCGAATCGGAGAAACAGCGATCGGATCAAGGAATCGTTGGGATAATTGAAAGTGGATGCATCCGGCGGAAAAACCGTTTTTCTAATCAACACCCAACTTTTTTTTTCGTTTTAACCCTTCGGTATTTCACAAACGACGATATTCATGAAATTTGTCGAATAGTGTTAACCGTATGCCGCCACGCGGTCGGAGATTCAGTTATACTATCATGTCAGCATTTACAATGCTGCTGTGTATTGTCCATCCGTTGTCGATAATCAAGTAATCTGGTCGTATGTGTAAGCATTTTTGGCTTTTTTTTTTGATAACGCACATAAGCGATAATTGATTTTAAAATGTCTTAAAGAAAAAAAACTGTGCAACATACTGTATTTAATATGAAAGATATTGGAAAATTACGTGTAATTTTAGTTTCTTTTAACTTAAATTAAATCGAGTTTTTAGTATAAACAAACTATGGTAGTTTTTCTACGAGTTTGAAAAGTCTTTGTTTGCGAACCGAGAGGTTTGCGGCCCGAGCCGAAGGCGAGGGACGTAACGAGGTTCGTAAAGGAGACTTTTCGAACGAGTTCCGGAAAACTGCTTTTTCGCCCGAGGAAGTACCAGCCTCCCAAAACCACCCGAGGGCGGAAAAATAGTATTACTTTTGATTATATTTGTATAATAAACTAATTTCATTTTAATTTTTTCTGCAATTTAATGCAGTTGGCTCATTATGTAAACATTTTCAAAAAAATCTATCTTTTACGGGAAGTTGGCATGCAACATCGCGTATGTACATTATCTGGTAAAAAATGATTTTTTGATTACCTGACTTTTTACGGACCTAAATGTAAAATAAATTTTAATAGTTTACAAAGGCATAATTTTCTGCATTAGCAAGGAAGATGAAGTAAAAATAATTTTTTTTTTTTTAGTTTAGACAGTTTTATTGCGAATTTTCGGTATAGCACATATTAATACACATTTAATGTAAGAATTAAGTATTAACTGGAGAATTTTTAAAAAGACAAAAATTGTCAAGTATGTTTACCTGGAGAAAAATTTTACTAGAACGAAATATTCTGTAATTTTTAATTTTTTTCATCGTCAGTCAGACCTTTCGAAAAATCATCAACTACAATTTATTCCAACTACATAATGAACTGTTGATGAAAAACAATTACTTTCAAAAATTATAGGAATGTGCCACTTTTTCCAATAATTATCTTAAGCACAGCCTGGCGTTACTTTTAATCAGTAACATAGAAATATATTTAAAACTTCAATATAAACGATTCACTTTCAACGATTGTTAAGCTAATTAAAATATATTAATTGATTTTATTTTTTTTAACTCACTAAAACTGCAAGTTTAAAGTATCAAATGATTTTGTAACTTAGTAAAAAAAAAAAAAAATTTTTTGTCAGTGAAGTTTGTACCACTTTATACCACTTCATTATCCAACTGGTCTCTCTCTCTAATATACACCTACAGTACTTCATAACAACTACATAATTATTATGAGGTATCTAAACTCCAAATAGAAAATATGTCAAACGAAACAACGTTATTTAAAATTTAGGCAAGTGCAAACGCACGCTATTAATATTGTGAATCCAAAAATAAATGTCACTTTTTCCCCTTCATCTGCTCGTGCTTTGAAATATAATTTTATATGAGTATACATTAGAATACATACACCCACGTAGCTATATAGGTAATTATAGGTATGTATATATTATGTGCGCGTTTGTGCAGTCGTGCGCGTATGCTTGCATGTGCTAAAACTGATACATTTTTTTTTTTTTTTTTTCATCTATTTACTTTTTTAAAATTTTTTTTTTTTTTTTTTTTTTTTTAACATTCTATGTCTTATAGAGCAGGGATAAAAATATACTATTTATCATCATTTTATCGCATTACAACGAGAGAACAGTGTTCCACATAACTTTCTTTTACAATTCCACGAAGACACTTTACTTACAATTATGTGCTTAAGTAATTAATACACATTTACAGTTAGGTACACTGTGTTCCAATGGAATACCACGGATTTGACATACTTTCAATAGTTGTTACTTTGGATTCGGGCCTGAAATTATTATTAATCAGTGCTGTTTTACCATTTTATCCGAAAAAAAAAGAACTTTTTTTTTTATTTGCAAAACGTTAGGCTGCCTTACGAAATTAATTTTATTAAACTTCGTAATTCTTGTAAACGAATCAAAATTCAGTCGATTGTTTGAATGAAAGAAAAAATTTTTTCTTGTATATTTTTACAAATGCAGTTTAGTTCAACTGAATTCTTACAAAATATTGTTTACGGAAACGAGGACGTTGGAACCAAGAGTCTCGTAAAAATCGTTGCAAACACAAAGTATATAGATACACGGGGTTTTTTTTTTGTAGTCATGTCTTAGGTACACGTGAAATCGTTGTAGCAGTGCAAAGATTATTTTTTAAAAAACTTGCAGATTCATAAAAAGTTACGTTTCAGAAAATATAATATATGTATGTATGTACGTGTATATATATATAATACAAATATTTAAAACTCGAATGCTATTATATAATATATACGTACGACCGCTGACGCAATTTATCATACTATACACGTGTATGTATATATGTATAATTTAATAGTCGCTTGCAATCTTATAGTTTACTTTGATATGTTTTCAATACAGTACATGCTTTGTTAGCTTATACGTTATTAATAATCCTACGATTAATCTTGAAGACTCAGCATAAAATCTTGATATGTATCGTATTTTTTTTTTTTTTTTTTTTTTCAGTCATAATCACATAAAAATTGAACAGTAATGATAACAACAACAACAATATAAGGTGTAATAAAAGTAACCTTCGTGAAAGCGTGCAACGTGTGTATACATTTACTTTCTAGCTTCAATAGTACACAGTTTACGCAAATTATAATCATCTCTGAACGAGCCTCCAACACAGATCCACACACACCCGTCTTTTCCATCCACCAACATTGTAATCTCTGGTGGCCTTCTTTCCTGTCAATTTATCAATTGTAAAATCCATGGGCACGCGCCAATTAGTTAATTACCTTAAGATGGGTGTAACGTAACGAAGGAAAAATCGACCAATCATTGGTTTGATCGGTAATAGATGATTAGGATTGGGTCTTTTGATAGTATCGTACAAACCATTGTTTCAGCACTAAAGAACTAATGGAAAAAAAAAAAAAAAAAGTGTACGTGTATTATATATATATTGTAATGGAGCGTAACGATTAGAAAAGTGAAGAAAGAGAGAGAGAGAGAAGAGAGAAAATGAAAGTCCGTGTCAGAGACGGTATTATTACAGGATAAGTGTGTAAGTAGGTCTTTTCGTGCGCTTAAGGGAATCCCTGCTTGTAGAGCCGGCTGTCTTTGCCGGTGATTCGTTTCTCACCCGTCGTGTACTGAACGATCTTTTTGACCTGGTCCGTTGCGACCGGTCCGATGCACACCAGGGGATCCTTGAAGTAAGAGCACATCTGAAAAATCATCGCCCCGCGTCATCATTTTATTCTTTTGATTCACAACAACAACAATTTGTCCAATAAAAAAAAAAAAAAAAAAAAAAAAAAAAAATGATTAACGGTACGTGTGTATTTTTTCCTTGGAATCAAGAACATATTCATTAAAATAGCTCCACGTATTCCCCTGAAGCGAGATGTGATTTCCCTTGTTTGAAATGAGTATCCCCCAAAAGCAAGGAAAAACCATCTTCTTTCGAGGGATCGAGCATTGTTTTCTTGGTACTAAGGAAAAAGAATTTTTTTTTTGCAAAAAAGCCGACCTTTCTCGGTATCTGTCGATGACGCCGCTGCAACTGGCAGCAGAGACCCCGGCCGATGTCGCACTCGCTGGACATGCTGCACTGCTCGCCTGTCGCGCAACAAAAAAATCAATCATCACACATCGCACATCGGGAGAATGATACATACTAGGGAATAACGCGCGATGGACTTACTGTACTGCTTGTTCGAGGTGACGGGCGGTTGGCACGAGAGGCTGTCTGTGCCCGCGAGCTCGGCGCAAACAAGGCCCGTCTCGCAATCGCTGTCCCTACGGCACAGCTCGCCCTGCTTCAGCCCGTAAACAAACATGCACCGTCCCTCCGGCCACTCTGCAATCGTACACCTCCATATTATATACATGTATACTTTAACACCACGTTAATAACAATCCTGATGATGTATGTCGGTTACCTCCGTCCTCGAAGTTGATGCACACGGACATGGAGCAGCAGTCCTCGTTGGTCGTGCAGCGCCTCTCGTAACACGGCTCGTCAGCCCCCTCGTCCAAGTTGTTTTCGCTCAACGAGCCCGCCTGCTGCACACGCGCAAGGGATTATTAATTTATGGTACTCCGCGTGTCCAATATCCATGCCACACATGTATATCGTCTCGCGTGTATATAATAATTAATCGCCCCATCAAGGTCACCACCTCGTTCTCCACATCACGGATCATATAGGTGTATATATATATATAATATGGGGGGGGGGAAACAACAACAATGACGTACCTGAAGATACGCGGACGGCCGCGACATGATTCCCCCGTGGCCGCCGCCGTAGCCCATGTTGGACAGCATGTCCGGGCTGAAACGGTTGAAGAGGCCACCCCACGCCTCGGCTCCGTTAAGCGAATCGCTCGACAACGCGATCACGACCACCGCGATGACGCACAGCTTTGGGCTCATCTTTTTTGTCCTCGGGATTTCCAGTGGCACAAACTTTGGAAGAAAACAAAGAAAGAAAAAAACAAGAAAAACAAATGATCGGTCGGGGATGCAAATTACAATAATTTTCTTCCCTCGTGCGCAACGCGTATTCGTTAATCACCAGTGCTATGGATTTGTGCGTACGTGTGCGTGCAAAGCCACAATCATCCGCAATCATCGAAGCGCACGGGGAATCAAAATTTAACGCACGAAAGATCTCGTTAAGTGTATATATATACACTGCCAATGTACTTGATTGTGTTTAGTGACGCATACGTCCCGATGCCATCGGAGAGCAGGTGTGTTTCGCGCAAACACGAGTACGCCCATCGTGTATATATACTTGGAAAAAGGAAGCGCGCGCGCGCATACACATACACACACACATACATTCATATATATATATTTATACGTGCGTTGGTTGTAAAAGCTCGCAGGTGAGCTTTTCAAAGGACGTCATCCGAGTCGGCTGTCCCTAATCGATTTTATGCTTCGCACCTCCGCAACAATACCTACGCAACCTTTTTGCATCCCTAACGCACGACTCGAACACCTACACACGCGCTTTCTTTCAAACGAGGGTGGGATTAGTTTAAAAAAAAAATTAATACATAAATAAACAGTTTGGAAGGTATTACAATGATTTTATGGAGGAAAACACTTACCCCCTTTTTGTATCTCTTCCACTAGTCGGTGAAACCCTCGGAGGGAAAACGCTCGTGCTGCTTCAAATATGCACCTGTACTTGGCAACGCGCAGTTGAAATCGAGTGACCGAATCAACGAGTTTGTTTATGATTTTTTTTTTTTTCTTTCTTTCTAATAAATGCCGAGCTTGGTCATTCACGGGTGTCCCTTTGGCAATCCGCGGGCACTTTGAGCAACGCGACGGATGAAAGATATCGGGAGCATCCGTCTACGTGTGCCTTTACGTGTCCTTACCTACGTAAAACACCACCTGCCCACGTACAAGGTAGGGATGGATGGTATACACGACGCATGCGTTGCCAACTCGTTTAGTCGAGCTGTCCTTGTCCTCCCGGGTATTGGGGGTGGCTTTTTCATTTCGTATGCATGGGAACACTTTCGTGAAATCTTTTTCTTCTTTTCTTTTTTTTTTTCTTTTTTCACCCCCTGCTTTGACTGATACAATACGTTCTTGTTGGCTTAAGCTCGCGTATACGTGTCCAGCTATTGATTTTGCCCATTTTTTTTTTTTTCAGAGATTTTTAATTTGCTCACCACGTAGAAACTACCGATAACCCAAATTTCTTTTTTCAAACATTTTATGGAACACATTAGCGATGTCTCTAAAAAAAAAAAAAGGCTTATCTGAATTTTTTTATTTATTTCAAATGTCAGAGATATGTCTCTAAAAGATGATTTGATTGTCAAACTCTGTAGCATCAGCGCTGTTAAGTATTCTACTGTTATCTCGTACGGATGCTTTTTTGCGCCAAACGTCGAAACAAGCTGCTTTTTATTCGATGCAACCCACAATCGAGACAGCTTTGTTTTGCTCCTTGCAGGTGTCGCTATAGCTTTTAACTTTGCTCGATTATATATACTTGCACGGTACAATAAATCGTATGTAGCAAAACCATAATATATATATATATATATATATATATATATATATATATATATATGTATAAACAGGAAATAGCTCATCCTTCGCTCTACCGCGACATCAAGTTAATTAATTGTCATTGATTTCAAATTGATATCAAACTAATGTACCTTTGAAGTGGTGATAAAACATTTGCACCGTTAATATTATTTTGGATGATGTTTTTAAAAGACATACAAGAAGTAAAATTGAAAAATGTTAATTTTCATTTTGATCGTTAATTATTGTACAATAGTATCTATTTTTTTTTTTTCGTTGAGGCTTGTATACGTGTAGAGTCTGGATCTGGGATTTATTGAATGAAGAAGCAAATGTTTGTAAAGGAAATAAAATACATTTTTTTTTTTTACACGTAATCTTTATTAACTTCTTTCAATAGAAAAATATATTTAATCAATAGACGATCGACATTAAAATAAATACAACAAATACATGTTAATTCAGAGTTACGAAAATATAATTGACAAATACATTATATCTTTCCATTTATATTACACGTTTAAAAAGTACAACGTAAAAATAATCACTTAATCAACTAATGATGAATACACAACGAGTCGTATTTATATTATGCGTCTGTATTTATACATAACGTATGTATACTATGTATATATGTATACGAGCGTACGCACACACAGGCACACTCGCTCGCGCACTTAACACACATTTTTTTTGCGTGATTCAAGCCATAAATAAATAATTGGATGAATAAATAAACAAATAAATAAACAAAACGAATACATTTATGTATGTATAAACAAACAAGTAGTTGAATAAACCATAAGTGCAGTCCGGACTGGAGAGAAAAAAAAAAAAAAAAAAAAAGAAAAAAAATTTTGCGTCCAAAGCACGTTCGTTCGAACCGCTAACAAGTTAGTTACTCTTCTTTGTACATTTTTTACAATTGGCACGTGATTCGCCTCTCCCTCTCTTCCAATAGCTCGAAACTCACATCTGACTAAAAGTTGCTGTGACTTTGTCGTGGTTTCGTTCAGACTCCGGTGATGCTGTGCAGCCAAGGCTTGAAGTATGTTGTTCTCATGTAGACGCCAGGCAAGTAGGGAGCCGCGCATTTAATGCCGTGGGAAACGGTACCGACCAACATCCACCTGCCGTCCTCTCGCTGCAGAGTCAGTGGTCCGCCACTGTCGCCCTATACAAATTACGCGCTCGTTCAATTGACAGCTTACACGAAATTTTATGCTAAAATTTATGTGTCCCTTTTTTTTTTTTTTTTTTTTTTTTCTAGTTGCGTGAGATCATAGTGAACATTGGAAACGCCGCTAATAAATCACCAAGAGCATGTTGATCGATAAGGTGTACTTATTTGCGGCGCATTTGAGGAAATAATGATTTCGTCGCCCGTGTGCATTTCTACAGCCACGCCACCAGTTAGATGAGTTTGGTTACTCAGGAAATGAAAATAAATAAAAGTGCAGTAGAATAAGTGAAAGTTGTATACCACGAAAAATGAGGGAATAAGAAGGAACAAAAAAAGGTACAAACTCCCAGTTGGTTTTTTTTTTTTTTTATTGTTAAACATTCAACACGAGAAAGTTAGAAGGGAAAAAACGTAAAGGTAGTTTTGAAAATCCAAAAGAGGATAATAGATAAGCTCAATGAACCAATAGAGGAGCTTGAAAGGAGGAGGAAAAGAGACGATAAAAGGTGGGAGGAAAAAAGGATCCGTTTGAGAGCAAAAAGCGTATAGTGTGATTAAAAGTAAAAAGAGGTTGAAGAAAACTAGTTGGCGATCAAAGTGCTGCAATCAACAAAAGACATCTGGTGGCAAAAAAAAATGAAAAAAAAAAAAAGAGAGTAGAATAATTTCATCGCTACGTTATATTTTGTACTGCTAAGAGTAATTTGACCACTCATTTCGATTCTACACAATAAACCGAGCAGAGCAAAGAATAATAACGCATTTCCCAATGCACTTACAATTTATTATTTAATACATTCTAAATGGAGGATACTTTTGTCGCTAATAGAGTATTGGGAATGGCTGTGCCGTACGTTGATTTGCCTTTTAGAGAAACGCGACTACGAACGATACAGTTACATCGATCACGCGTGACAATCGCCATACAGCGATGGAGTCACCGGTTTGTAGAAAAAAAAAAAAAAGTAACCCATCGTTTCCAGGATAAAAAAAAAAAAAAAAAAAAAAAAAAAAAAAAAAAAAAAAAAAAAAAAAAAAAAAAAAAA